GCATTTATTAATGCCTTTTCGAAGTCTATTTTTATATTTTGTGGATCTGGAAAAAGATTGTTCTTTTCGCAGACTGATGAAATAGCTTTGAATATTATTTCGTAAATAGATTGATTTTTTTTTTCAAGTAAACAGTAAAAAAAGGTGGGCAAGTGGGTGTCGCTCTGCTGTACAGTAGGTTACAAGTGGGTCACTGTATAATGGATGATATTAAATTTGAATTCAACGATATAATATCATTGTATAAGAAAAACGATTCTGAGCGGAGACGGTATGTCAGTCTATGTTTAAGACATATTATATACATATCTATGGTATTAAACAAAAAATTGACCTATAATAGGTACCTATAATAAATTCCAAATTAATCATATCACAATGTCCATTAGGTACTTATAACGCGTTATACATCAACAAAACCGTAATACTATCATAGATATATAATAGTACACTTTAGAAGTTTCAAGTACCCACGAATAATATTATTCAATCACAACAAAATAACTAAAATAGTTATTCTAGGTTTTTTAAAATGTAATTTCGTCCAAATTTGAATTTAAAATGTCTGTAAAAAATAACTGTGTTCATATATTTTTTAGATTTTTTGGTTACAGTATGAACTATTTATGAGAACCTTTTTTTTAAATTTGCAATCCTTAGCTATAAAAACTGAACATTTTATAATTTATTAATTTCAATGATTGATAATTTTCGAGATTTTGATAAATTTTGTCAAAATTTGATCTTTAAATGCTTATAAAAAAAAACTGTGCCTACGTATTTTTAATATTTTTCAACTGCTATTGTAACAGTATATCAGGAGCCTTGTATTAAATTTTTACACTTTTTGGCCCAACAGATAAAACTTTATTGATATTTATAGAAAAAAAAACTAAAAAAAATTGAAAGCTGTAAATGTCCATAAACAGCTCAAAAAGAGTCAAAATATTTTCAAAATTGTATGGTGTATAGAAAATGCTAATTTAAACATTCAGTGAAATTTTCATGTATCTACAGTTATTTGTTTTTGAATTACAACAAACTAAGGAAATCGCTACATGGGAAATCGAGTGAATATTCAATGTTGTAAAAATTTGAATTTCAAACGCTTATAAAAATTTAATTTGACTTTCTTATAGACATTTTTTTTTTGATAAAGGTAGATAATCTTATAAGGAATCTTGTGTTAAATTTTCAAATCTTAGATTTAAAAAGAAAAATTTTTACGAATTCTTAACTCAAAATAATTTGCTAATTTTCGTGATTTTTCCATATTTTGTCAATTTTTGAACTTTAAGTGCTTATAAAAAAAAATTGTGACTAAGGATTTTTAATATTTTTCATCTGCCTTTGAAACAACATATTAGGAGCCTTCTATTAAATTTTCAAGCTTTCGCAACCAACAAATAAAATTTTATTGATATTTCTAGAAAAAAAACTTAAAAAAAATGAAAAATGAAAATGTCCCTAAACAGTTCAAAATAAATCAAAATATTTTGAAAATGTTATCGTGTATAGAAAATGCAAATATAAACAACCAGTGAAAATTTCATGTATATACGTTCATTTGTTTTAGAGTTACACCAAAAACCAAAATCGATTTTTTGGAAAACCAATTTTGCGTAAAAATTCCCGTTTTTCCTTAATTTTTATGTTGTTTTTCCCGGCGCTTGTGAAAACTACTGGGAAATTTATACTTTTGACCCCCCAAAGTACCAACTAGATTCACTTTCCTATCAGAAAAGCTGCTGATGAAGAAAATCCAAGCACTTTTACTGTCCTAAAACGTGATGACAGACACAAAAATAAAAAAAAAAATAAAAAAAAAAATAAAAAAAAAAACACACATCATTGTAAAATCAATACATTCATCGTTTCACTCAGAATCTAAAACAGTAAAAAATGCACTATATTTTTCAATTCGTATGATGTAGAGTTCTGATGTGGAGTTATGAATTGTTTTTATCGTGGGTATATAGTATATACAATAATTTATCATTGAATCCAAAGTTAATATTGTACGTAGGTAATAGCCAATAGGTATGTTATACATTTTGTATTGATTTGAGATTAATTTGTAAAATCTCTTATTATGGAAATTTGGCCTATGGGGTTATTTTGTCGGTGGTTATTTTTTCGCGGGGTTATTTTTTCGGGGTTCTTTTTTTCGGGGTCTAAATTTCCGGGGTTATTTTTTCGCGGTACCGGCCAGTATTATAGATATAAACGGCTGATCAAAAATAAACTCTTCATAATTAAATACTATTAGATATTATCTAAGTTATAGTTTGGGTATTTTTGATGACCTTGCCTTATAATTTTAATTTTAATCTAAAATATAATGATGAAAACAAACTGAAATAATAGAATGCAATACGCTACAGAACTCGACGAAATAAAAATCAATATTCCCATACAGCTTAGACCTCACAACATACTAAGAAAACTATAGACTACAAAGTAAAGACAATTGATTAAGAATAGGCTATACAAATCTAACTCATTTACACATTTATTAATGGAAACGGAAGAATCAATAAAATGTCTTCGACACTGATAACTTTTACTTTTTAGGTTTAATGTATATTATATGTTCACACTAGGCATACGGATACTAGAACCACCACCTTTTTGGTAGGTATACTGCTGCGACCGTCTCAGATAAATGATAAGGGTTCAATGAGAAAATGTCATCATTATATTATTATGTAGGTACAAACACCATTTGGATTAAGTAAAATATTCTAATTGTTAGTTTAGTTTTAAAGCTAGCAACCAAACCCTAAATATGAATAAATAAGTTGTCACAAAATGTTTTTAACTTTACTATATATTACCAATACAACTTGTTTATACGCATGGTATTGAATTCCTAAATACTAATAATTAATGTATTAATCATCTGAATGTTTTTCCGTTTTCGTATAAATAGCATTACCCATGAATTGAAATTAAACAACATTATAAGGTCTTTAATAATTAGAATTGTTTTCTTCTTTATGGTGTTGCATTGCTTTTATTTAATATTAGAGAAACCCAGTAGGTTAGGTTAACCTACACTCCAAAATTACTTATAAATTTTAATAATTGCTTACCTCAAAGGTTTTGTATGATAAAATGTATCATTAACGATTATTGAACGGTGTCATCTTCGCCAGAATACGATTTTTATACTTCACTATTATTCTTTATTCTCAAAGAAATTGGTTAATCTTCCATCACCTGTAGTCCGTATAGGTACTCTTTAATCTTAATACTTCTACGAAAAAAAACCAAATGGATATATTTCGTTCTAAAAGAACAATACTGCATTTCAGTGATATGAACTTGTCATTTACATAGAGTAAGTTGTCATTTTGAGTTTGGGATATTATTACCGAAACATTAATAGAAGGATTTACTACATAATTGTTTGGATTTATGTGTTAAGCCCAAGGCCGTATATCTAGGGCCTAGGGGTCCATGGGTGAGGGGGCCTCTCCTCACCATAACTGATTCAATCACTATAAATAATTTTCTTTTCTTGTACACAATTAGAAAAATATTCGCTTCATAACTTCTCGTGGTTCGTTCTATAGATAATAGTATAACACAGAACATAAAAGGTAATAATATATACACCGTTATATCGATTTTAATACAGCAAGCTTTTATGGATTTTAGACTCCAAATACAAAACAATATTTATATGTATACGGATGTGCAGCCGTAGAATAATAATTTTCAAAAAGTTGCATTTTGTTTTTAAAATATTAAAAATCTAAAACTCAAATGTTCATTTTACTTGATATTTAGTTCGCTCAGTACCTATTTATATAAGTTTATATTAAAGTACTCTACTAACCTAAAATGCTTTATTTTGCGAAACCCTTTTAAGCGTATCCTTTCCTTAAATGTCTACAGCGTTATATATAAATTTGCCTTGAAATATTCACTGTCCATAAAATGTTTATGGTTGTAAATGCACATAATTATAATATATTGTAAAATATTAAAATATTAGCTAATTATCACCATATAGGTACCTAGATAATTAAAAATACAAGCACCCAACAGATCTGCATAATATACTGAACACTATATCATTTCAGACTATACTTATAACCTTTTCTAATGGAATTTAAAATTTAAAACGTGACGATTTGTGCTGGAAACTTTTTCTTGACATTAAAATGTATTGTCAGCAAAACTGTTTTTTACGATCCATAAAAGCATACTCCCTACGTTGGCCGGGGTAAAACGATTTCATGTTGCTTATAAGTTATAATAAACAATATTTTCGTATAATATGTAATATGATCATGTGAAATCAGTAGGTAGCTATTTGTTTTTATAAGCTTTGATTGCGTATTATACATACAGGCTAACTTAACACACAAAAAAAATGTTGTTTGTTCACTTAATCAAGTAGGTACTTGTTCAAATTTAATTCTACTGCCATTGAGTTTCAAATATTTACGCTTTATAAATTATTATCAGCGAAAAAATATATACAATATTCTTCTCCCAGTCCCTCGACTAGTCGACTCTCATAGTGTCTTACAGAAAAGGCACATTCTATATAATACAGTAGGTAACTTGTAACTATATTTAATACAAAATATATACAAAACCCTATTGCAGTATGTATACCTTTGGCTCTATTGGATAGTATACACTGTATACCGAGTAGTATTACAGTAATAATTCGTCGAAAACGTTTGGAGGGTATAATAATATAATAAACATTAAAAATAACATTTAATTGCGTTTGACATATTTTCTTATGTATAATAAATAAACTACTTTTTACAAGATTTTCCACCTGCTCTCATGGACGACTTGAGACGGCCCGAATTTCCGCATGACGCTTCCCCGTGGAAGCAGGTGCGAGCTGACGAGAAATAAATCATCTATATCGTCCTATTAGAAAAGCTAAACGTCGAATTCTCTTCTAATGAGTGTCATTAGTTGCTCGGCAGATGCGATCCGCGGTCGGTCATCGTGTCTTATAATATAATATGTTGCTGCTCAAAGTGTCCTTCGCATTATTGACAGTGGCATTGGTCATCTGCAAGAGTTTACAATCGTCTATGTTCGACCAGTGTGGTCCTCGTCATACGAACCTAACCCAAGAATGTGTGGGCAAATTGATATTGGAGACTCTGGCTAAAGTCAGCGAAGATCCAGAGAATTTCTTTGGATCAAAAGTGAGTATATAATATCATAGGTACCACGATAAATAAAGGATGGCTTTATGCAACGCACACATCACTAAATGTCTAGGTACAATTTTATGATTTTTAAATTACAAAAAAAGAAATTATAAGCTAGGTATATAAAGCCTTGAAGTAGGTTAAATCTAACCTATTCTTATCACAATTTTTTACGCATACATTTTTTTTTTCATAATCATGTTTTAATGTTTTGTTCACGTCTAAGGCATCCAATATTTTTAATTTTGTATTCTTCAGCAGAACATTTAACAGAAATATCTATTCGTACTTTTTTTTTATTTACAAGCGTTTTAACTTTTAAGTTATGAAAGGAGGAATAGGGTAGTTTAGTAGCAGAAAGCCTAGTAAAATCTAGGTATCTGCTCAGTGTTTACCTATTACAATCGAAATTGTCATACAAATAATCTGCTTCAGAAAAATAAATTAAAAATATGGGTTTTCTTTTTATAAAGTACAAAAATCTTTATGGAAAATAAATAGTTTTTTTTTACAAAAATCTAGTGTTATATTAATTATCAGTTTATTTATGAGTTAAAACCCAATTATACAAGACATTTTTAATCGTTTACATGTAGTAAAATGGTTGCAAAACAAAAAAACATTTAATATACTTTACTACATACCTATACCTACATCATAAAAAATATCGAGTGATTCATTGGCACTAAAATTAAAACAATCAGTTATTGGTACCTACGTCATAATTTATCATTTGCAATGGATATCATTACGCTGATAGAAGCAGCTAAATCATAATATTATTTGTGTGCATTAATACAGAACGTACTACCTATATTTAAATATGGACTACCTATGCGGATCGTCGATAAGCAAAGCAGGGTTTTTACATATTTTTAGATAAATTATTCTCAAATAAACATGTTAAGGGGATTCGATCCGGTGATTTAATAAGGGGTCGTGTATAGGCAATTCGATGTATTATAGTCGTTTCGCAGTGTGTTTGTGTGCGAAGTAAATGATCATTAGTGTGCGTAGATACGTTCGGAATCAGTGGTTCGCACCCGCATGCACATGTCACATACTAAAATATTTGTTCCAACGAGAAACTAATTTCAATCAATTGAGACCTAAAAGCCTGACAAAAATACGATAACTTAGAATGATCGGATTTTAGTTCTGTAAACATATTTGAATTCATCGTTCTTTTTTCTAGGTTATTGTGGGAGTCGATTTTTGAATAACTGTTTAACTTTTTAAAGAAAGACACAAACAATTTTCAAAAAATTGAGAAATCGATATATGATTTAACGTGAATTCAAAAAAAAATATCGAAAATTGATTCCCACAATAACCTAGGAAAATTGTCAATGAACTCGAATCTTTTTACAGAATTGAAATCTGATAATTCTAAGTAGGCGTATTTTTGTCAGGCTTTTAGGTCTAAATCATGAAATAAATACGCTGGATCGAATCCCCTTAAAATTATAACGAATGTTTGTACAAAATTGTTTTCTTTAGCAATTGAATAACGACAGTGGAACGATAATGCGATTTATCAAGCTGAAATTCGATAACGATACAATGAACATCGATCAACGCTACGAAATCGACGAGAGTAGATCTTGGAGCGCAGGAAATTTTTGGGATCAATTGGTCTACGTATTCAAAAAACTGACCAACTACAGTAGCGATCACGGAATTCTGTTGTCCCTCCCGCAATGGTCGAAAAAATTTCCACCTGTCACAGTCGTTGACGAAAACGACGTTTTTCAAGTGGTCAATGAAAGTGAGTATAACTATGATATAATTTATAGACAAATAATAACAATATATAAAACTAAAGTTAAAATTAACGTATTATTGAACCTTTATCAACACCGCGGAAACAAACCTTTGAATATTCGTAGTATTCTTTTCAAATATCAGACATCGGATGTACTTATAAAACATAAACATAAAAACAATTATTTCATGGCTTCATAATCGTAATATTACAAAAATCAAATATCAGTTATCACCTATACTTACAGTCACAATATTTCGGTTTTGAATATGTTACAGTACCTACCTATTTATCTGAAGTAACTATGTAGTACCAATTATTGCCATTGGAAAACCAATAAATAGGTAGTAGGTATATATTCAAATTGTCTTTCTTCAATGATTTATACGCATGGGTGGGCATGTAATTCCTTACCCAATTGCTTAATCAAATGTGTAATATGTCTTACTATTTTACTAAAATATTCATAAAACAATATTCATATAAAATATTAATGTTACAAATTAAAATAATATAGATAATTTCAGTAAAATGGACATAGCAGTGGAATAATGATTTATTTTATCAAACGTTTTGAGATGGCTCGGATAGTTCAGACTTTAGAGGTTATAATTACGACTATTATTTCAACGTTGGGTCAATATTTGGTTTGAATATTAAATTTAATGTAAATTTGGATGGGTAAAATATTAGTTATAATTGGCTCAGGACTCTAAAGTTTTAGAAAAACACTAATAAATATTATAACAGGTAGCTGTAGGTACAATAAATCATAGAACATTAAACAATATAATTTTCACATACAAAGCAATATCATATTAAAATTATTGTCCAAGATTATTATTACACCTACGAGTAGATAGGTATATCATAATAAGGAGTAGGGACGTACCTAAAATATTACAAATAGCCATATAGGTATTATTAAACAATGAATATCATATTTGTTTACCTCGACGTAACGATATGTTTCCCGACATACAGTAAGTTATTACAAATTATAATATTAATATATTCTTTTACAGTTAAAATATATTTTTAAATTTCGATTTTCAAATTAAAAATAAGATTTTTAAAAATGTGCAATAAGCTTATAGAAATGTTTATAAAACAACGGATTTAAAATACGGGAACGATATAATGAACTTTTTTTTATATAGGTGAACTATCAACATCAACTATCCGTGTATTTCAATCAGTGTCAAATCAAACAAATCGTTTCTTTAAAGTTTACCCGTAAAATCTAACCCAACGATAAAATCACGATAAACAAGTTTTATAAACTGAATACTTGAAAAGATAATTATATTATAAATAGTATTCATTGTTTTATAGAACACCTACTCATTCAATAGAATTATAATTTTGTTGAGTTATATCTTCTAAAAAAAAAAAAGTTCTGAACCCTATTTTTTCTGAGAAACATTTATAACTTAATTTTTAACGTAGGTTATACAATATTAATTGTATATTTCATACGTATTTTTGACCTGATATACAATTATTTGTAAAATATAAAACGAAAAAGCATCAAGATAAATCATTTGGCTATAGCCTGTAGTATATAGATGAATATTAGAGAGACTTAAAGAGTCTTAAGTCCTAACAGGATATCTATTACCTATAACCACCTCAAAAAAAGTTCTAAAAAGAGGTCTTAGCCTACTCAAAAATACATGGTGATAGTTGACTCTCAGGTTCATAAATGTATACTTGCATTGTTGCATTAGTCACTCAAAGTATATAATATATAAAAATATACCTATTAGATTTATTTGTTATATATTTATCGTGAAGCTATTATTTTAAACAATTGAGTCAAATCTAAATACAGTTTTTCCATGCAAAAAATAGCAAAAACTATTGTTGTTATTTTATTATTTTGATTTTCTAATACTTCACAGTTATTAGGTGTCTACTTATTAGGAAACTAATGGAAACAAAATTGTTAATTCATGAATAAAATTGTCTTATTTTATTTACATTTCCCTGATTGGTACAATTTCAATACTTCGACTACTTTGGCTAAGGTATTACAAAATGACAATGTGCATGAAACCACTCAGTAGTCGGTTCATAACAATTATAACAAATATCTGATTTTTTTTTTCTGTTTCCAACCGATTCTAGTTATCGAGGTTCCAGTGGTTCCAGTGTAGTTTAATTTTCTTTTATAATATCTACCTATTAAAAATTATTATTAGATATATAGATAGTACATATAGGTACCTATCAAATATACTGAGTATCAAAAATAAATAATATTTAACCGTCAGTTATATATTGTGAAAATAAAATATTGTTTATATATCATGTCGTAGGTAAAAACGTAACAACAATAAGACACATTTAACAAATTGGAATATTTTCATCACTTCTTTTGTTATACAAAACTTTTTATACGCAAAATACTATGCTACAACGTGGCAGTACCTAACAAAATATGGATTGTGTTCTGAAATATTTTATTTCATCTTTCAAGAATTTATAATACAAATTACAAAACAACTTCCCACTGTATATACATCGAATATCGATAATTATTTTGACAGTTTATACCTACCTACCTACCTAAAGAGTAATGTTCCTTATACATCTGAAAGTGCCTGAGCGTTAGAAAGTTGAAACATTTTGACATTTTAAAAAGGTCAAAAATACCAATCGATTCGCATTTCACATATAGAACAACGATTGTGGCGTTCGCTATAAGAAAATACCGATAAGTCATTTTGTCTCGTCACTTGTCAAATATTTACAATTTCACAAAACGATCGGTACCTATATTATATACTTTGAGTATTAAGCTGGTCGATATTTCACACTCCAGTCCATATTATATGTATAAAATAAAAAAATCACATTAGAGCATGAAAAGTATTTTATGTTTTTTTTTTTTTTTATTTTAGAACAAAAAATAATTATAAAATACAATAGTAGTAGGGACAGTGCTTGTGAGACAAAAAAATAACGTTTTAATTTAATCGCATATAATTTATACATATACATTACACACGCTGATATATTAACATATATATGGACAATATGGTATACACAAACATACTCTATTAAATCGTACAGGCGGGCATACGTCTCTCCGGCGGCACTTTCCTTCGTTGTTGTAAAAATATATTCACATTGTGGGGACTGTGAGAGTTTATTTTATTTTACTGATCGTGAATAAATATCCATTATATGAATGTTTTTCCTCTTTATACAGTATTAATGCTACTTCAGCCCAAGGAAAATGTGTAATTCAGTGCTTCAGATAAAGAAATCAAAGAATTCTAAAACAGCGATAATGATTAATATTTTGTATAATTTATATAATATACACGTGGGCGTATACAATAAAAAAGTTAGAAGAATGTTACGCATTCACGTTTTAATTGTCTACGAGATTTTGCTAATATGACCTATGAACCGATTGATGATTGTATTAAATTATAATGTATTATAAAGTATTATACAAGAAAATGTGTACCTACCTATCACGTAATATTGTTGTTAATATTATGATAAATATTAAACAGTTAAACTAATTTGTTTGTTCTCTATTAGGGCCTAGGCGTCAAATTTGAAGGCGTTAGATTTAATGTTATAAAAATATGTAAATTTAAACGTAAATACAGAAAGAAATAAATTCTATTAAACTACCTAGGTACCTACTTATTTTATCACTGAAGTTAACGCTCTAAAAACTTTAACCATTATATAGACGTAATAAGTACACACACAATGGATGCACATTGATTAACCACAACATTATGATTATAATAGGTTCCTCAGTACCTGTACTATTGACAGATGGGAACGTGATTGTAGAGTGCGTACAAATGTTCGATAACATGTTTTGTTGAAACTAGATTGGACTATTGAAGTAATAGATATTTTAATATAAACTATAAGACTATAACTTATATGTATTGAGTATTTCCATAAACAAAGCACATCAAAAAATGTGAATACCGGTTAGGTTATGAATACCGGTTAGGCTTATTTTATCGGTTAGTTGATTATTATTTTTTCATTGAAAGATATCAAATAAAGCACAGCGGCTGATAAGTGTTTCATGCCATCATCAATCAACCAGTTTATATAATATTAGAATCGTTAAATGACATAATTATAACTAAAATAAGAACAATAATATCTACAATTTACATTTACTCTATAGGTAGTAGGTACATAGGTACCGTGATTGTTTCCGTTTAAAAATTTTAATATAGTTTGGTTGCAAATAATCTCTGAAATTATCTTAGGTAAAAATGAACATCTTGGTAAAAGGGATTTTCCTTCAAACAATTTTCAAACTAGACTTTCAAAACTGTTCATTAATTATTCAAATCAATGATTGTTCTCCTTTGATTTCTTGCAAAAACAAATTATAATAGACAAGTTTGAAGTTATAAACAGGTTAAACTTACCACAACTATTGTAGTATAACAAGGTATTTTAATCCCCAAATGACAAGTATAATCCCATGCGAATCGTAATGACACAATTTTAAATATTAGTATCGTCCATAAAATAATACATACACAATTATTGATATTTCATGATAATATATCTACATCGCAAAGTCGAACAGAATGGATCTTTTAAAAAAAAAACTGCGACTACGGTGTAGATTGTAGAAGTCATGTGGTGGTTGTTTTTGGCTGAACCACTGCAAAGCAAAATGTTAGAAAATAATGTGTCATCGTGTTATATATTATTCAATTTAAACCAACCACAAGTCATTATTAGATATATAATATATATAAATATAGGTAGGTATTAACACCAAAAACGATAATAATAAGCAGACTCATCAATTAGACATTTTTTATTTATTCCAAACTCTACTCACAACAGAGGTATTAGGTATTGCGTCAGTGTTAGCTAATCAACAGTTGGCTGGCCCATACAGGAGTAGTATGTACTGACTAAAATTAAAATTGCAAGCCAATACTGCACCAGTGCTAAAAAATAGTGGGTAGGAACCGATGAGTGCTGGTTCTAGTCTGGTAGTTATAAATTATAATTCTAGCACAGTGGCACAATACTAGCAAAGTACGTGACTCAAAAAAACTGCGAACTAAAACTGGACTGTAACTAACAAACTTGTACCAGCATTAGAGGAATACCGAGAAAATACACATATATCTGCAGTGCCGGTATTAAAATAAATATATAGTAAATTGTAACATAATTTAAAGGTACAATTTTTAGAGTTGTGATTTGTGTTTGTGAACAATAATCCGTGTGAGGTGTGACACTAACCTAAACTGTCTTTAGAATGACTCTTAATTAAACGGGAATTGTAATTATGAGTTAACAGTGGCTTAGCCAGAATTATGAAATGGGGGGTGTTTAAGTATAGATTAAAACCAAGTTTTTACAGTTTTCGTATATAAATAAATTTATTGTTCGGGACTTGACTTGTTTCACTAAATATTATCGAAATATGATGGAATCAAAATTGTCAAAATATTCTTAAATATATACAGCTACATTTTTATATTATTTTTGAAAAATTCATAAAACATACTACAATTTTGGTAATAAAAAACTGAAAAATAAGTAAGTATATAAACATAAATAATTTATACACGGGTTTACTAATTTTAATATAGGTAGGTACCTATATTGATTAATGTGATGGACGGAGTACACTATTGCATGTTTTGGACATTTTTAAACTATTGTGAAATAAAACAACTTGATTTTTAAAAATACTGGCATAAAATACTAGGTTAATAAATATGTAGTAACGAATAACGTGATATGCGAACACCGTGATAAACGAACACGTATCTACTGATTTTCATTTCTTCGTACAATCTAGAATGTAGATGTCAATTATAGTTTTAACACAGTCTTGTCACAAAGAGACCTATACAATTTTACATACCATAATTTACTATGCGAAAATAGGGCAAACCATATAGCCAAGCTCCACCAACAACTTTAACAGCCCTCCCAATCATTTACTAATATTTTTTAATTCAATTTTATAATAGTATGGTTTTAGGCTTCGGCCTCCCCAAATCTCAAAATTAACCTATTAAACTAACCTATTGTACCTAACCAAACATAATATTTTTAAAGATATTTTTCAATGTTATTCAAATATGATTTTTCCCGACAATTGTATGTACCTACATTTAAGTTAGAAAAATGCAAAATATGCATGAATATGTATGAATATGCGAAAAATCGCTCAAATGTACACTTTTCCTAAAATATGCAAATTTTAATTCAAACTGTGTTTGATCAAACATTTAAAAAATTTCATAAGACAAATTTATAACTTATCTAAAATAATGCGAGCAGTCACAAACCCTATAAACAATATTTTTATTAAGGAGGAAAATGTCAATGGGGGGTGTTTAAACACCCAAACACCTGAAACACCCCCTGGCTACGCCACTGTGAGTAAATGTTCGCGGTGACCTTACATCGTATACACTTGGAACAATTCATTAGGTAGGTAGGTACGCAAAGTTATAAATCTTACATATTATTTACATATCGAAATTTTCCCAATACCCTGGAATTTAAAGTGAACACTAATTGCTAAAGGCTGAACAAAAATGTATTGTCTCTGTTATATAGTTATACCTACACTTTTACTTTCATTTTTTAATATTTTTTTTAAAAAGTTTTAAGTTTTAAGAGTTTACATACGCCCCTATATTGTCTATATTGTACCTATCTTCTATATTATGTTTTATGACTTTATATATTCAAATATTCAATCCTATGCCCTTGCTATAACTAGGTCAGTAGTCCAGTGGCGCACACTGAAGGGTTCAAGGGTAGCAGTTGCTACCCCTGATTTTTTTGGTAGATGGGTGGGTGGACCCCCTGGCTCCAAAATATTTACATCATGAAAATTCTACTAAGTATAAAAATATTGAAAATAAGCTATTGAATAATTATAGGTTTTAGCCAATATAGAGGTAACCGAATCAATTTGCTACCCCTATTTATTTTTGAGTGTGCGCCACTGGTCGGTACCTAATATCATTGATTATTAGTATACTCAATGCTAATACCTATAGACAACTATATGACTATATAGAAACATAGGTAGCTTTAACGTGTGATTTGTCTTGCGGTCGCTACCCCCTCACCACAGGCACCGCCGCAGCACACCCACAAAACCGATGATACAACAACTGCAGCAGCAGCATCCACGTGTGCGCGCTTATTACAAATATCGCCATTTTCATGGCTGTGTGATTTAGGATTATTGTTTAGTTTTTTTTTTTTCACAGTGGTTTACCTAATTACAGGTCGAGCCAAGCACCCACACAAGAAGTATGCTCTGCTGTTCCCATTGCTGGCGACGTTCAAGTTTCTGGTGATCAAAACGCTGTTGGTGCCAATATTGGTGGCCGTCATGATCATCAAGAAGATGCTAGTGCTTGGCGTCATGGCACTACCCACAGTATTGACCATGTTACGGTTCTGCCGGAACCCCAACTTCGGGGGCTTCGGGTTCGGTGCCGGTAACCTTGTGGCCACGGGTGCCGTTGGGCCGGTTGGTCAAGCGGCAGCATTCGCGCCCCTCACAGCCGACATGTCGGGCGACTACTCCTCGTACGTGCAACAATCGGCGGCCGCATCCCAGCAGAACGGCGCTTACAAGGACTACTCTAAGAATCTGATGGACGCTATGAAGACGACATACTGATGGCGAGGCGGTGAAACCCGCCACTCGTATATAGGTTAAATTGTTATTGTCGTTGTATACGATTTATATTATTATATACACTATCTCCCCGGCTCCCGCCACCACCCTCCAACATTTGCAACACCCTAAAAATCATTATTAGTATTATGTTATAGGTACCCAGTTATAGTACCTATACCGTCCTATACGTGCGTGTTATGAATAAAACGTGTGCCGATAAGAGAACTGACATTTTGTGTCCTCCAGACGCAATTTTATAATATATAATATAATATTTTTCTTCAAACTTCACGAGTGATTCCCTAAGCTAATGGCAATTTATTTTTCGTATTTCTAATTATTTTCGAAAACCATGTGGCAGTTATAAGTACCGTTAAATGGTAATTAAGATCAGACACTTCTCCCCTTGGCTACGTGGGTATTCTCAAAACAACCATACATCCTATCTACATTAATTTTGATATTGTTTTATAATTATACGTTATATAATCATAAACGTAAATAATGAATTTCTAAGTAGGTATCTAATTTACTCAAACTGGATTTATTTTTTCGGCATTACAGAAACAAAAAAAATAGGTAGGTATATAGATTATAAAACTACTCTAGCACAATTTACTTATCTATATATGTGAAATAATAATTATAAACCATACGTGAAGGTAGGTACCTACCTGATGAGTCACCACTGACCAGTTATAACATCAGTATAGTGGACAATACCGCTGTTATATATTATATTTATATTTCCTACACGGATAGAAGTGACACTGGTAGGACAGGTCACCATTGTAATGGCACCAAATTATTTTTTTTAATTTATCATTGCTTTCAAACACGCCATAATTTGTGAGGCCCACTGAACTTCAGCATTAACATTTTTATGAATCAATCGTTTTAAATAATATTAATAAGTACCTAACTATTAATAGGAGATACTTACACATTTATAAATAATGAAATACTTTATTAATTGTATTCTTGGGTACCTAAATTTGTTTTTATTTATAATTATTTCTTTAGTCTTACAATAATGTATTGGTAGTGGAACTATTTCCTCGTCGATTTCGTGAAGAAGTCTACAACATCAAAGGTGTTGTGTTTTGTCGTTTAAAAATGAATTATTTATTTTTCGATTGTAAAGTAAAATTGTGTAAATGCTGGAGACCAGTCATCAATCCCAGCCTCATGCATTAAATCCTGACCAGGAAATGTAGATAGGTACCTATAGGTTTCCTACTACACGTATTAAGAGGGTAAACTGTTAGAGGCAGTGGCGTATCCAGGGGGGGGGGGTTGTAACCCCCCCCCCCCCCGAAAATTGTTAAATTATAACAACGTTATCATTAATAAATCATTTTAAGATAAAATTCCACAAAAATAAATTATAACCCCTCCCGAAAAAAAATTCTGGATACGCTACTGGTTAGAGGTATGTACCTACATAGGCTACATACGTTAAAAGGTACCACGTATATTCCTAAGATGCTAAAACCACTACCTACCTATCAATTTTATGATACGTTTTTCATTTAAGTTTAATTATAATATATAGAAGACCGTAATATTATATTATTCCGTAACAACTACCAAACTTTGTAATTTTTTTTAATACTTAATAATACATTACCTATGTAGGTTTATCGTTTATTATATACATATTATTTATTTATATGGTTATTCAAATATGGTGTATGTAATTAAGAATCTTAACATTATTTCAGCACTGTATTATAATATAGACAACAAATTTAACAAATATAACATAATATTATTATTTGTATAGGTATTGTTTTTAAAGAAAAAACTAATTAAGTACATTTACTAAACATAATAAAATTAAAGGTAGGTACCTACCCATATACTATCATAATCAAACATGAATATTCGGTTGACATACGACCATAGGCGTAAATAGAATTTAAGATTTGGAGGGCTGGAGCCCTGCTATATTATAATATTGAACAAGCTTAAAAAAATTTAGGAAATGTTTCGGGCGCTTAGCTACTAAAGACCTCCCCCTATTTGAATCTATATACGACTCTATGCTTCTGTACATTTGTCAACGATTATACAATTTACAATAGTGCATATAGGTAGGAGTGTAGGACTGTAGGACGATAGGTATACAATGTATAATACTACAGAAGATATTTGAGCAGTTATAGTTCCTATATTAGATATTAAATAAAGTAATTAAACTTAACGTACGAGAAAGCTAAAAACTCACGTTATTTTTGTAGAAAACATTAAAAATTCTTGTAGTTTTTACAGGGTTTAAAATATGTTTAATATAAAAATAATGTACCTAATTATGTACTAGTGTACTACAGACGACCATACACATATTACTAACGTGTAGTTGTGTAGGCAATACAAGAAGAAAGTATGGTAGCCGGAAGATAGATAAGCTACATTTCTCAGCCTACCTGTATCAGAATGCATTTTCTCCACATCGTATTTTTTTAGTTTTCTCCCAGTGACATGTGTAACATTTTACCGACACATCTATATTTGAAATGTATATTTGATTACTTTGCTGTTGCAAAATATGTAAAAAGTAGACGGCCATTTGTGTTCATTGAAAAGTATTTCATATTTTTATGATTTACACAATGCCTAGGTAGGTAAAATAATAAAATTTAACTTGAAATTCGATTTATCGATGTTCCACTACTCTACTGTACATCAAAATTTAAACTTGTGTCTGGCTGTGTAATGCAAAATCTGAAAGTAGGTATATACTACATACTATACTCTACTAGTTCCTATGTATAGGTAGTACACTAGTACCTAACCAACAAGGAATTTCGGAACTAATTCTCAGACTAGTCGCCACCGGTATACATCAGTACCTAATACCTAATTACCTATAATGCAACAACTGGGCTCGTAACATACACATTTGGAATACGATTTGTAAGACTATAATATGCTACACTGCTACAGCCTATTTTTCTATAGTGAAGGTTCACGTTTTGACCATTTGTCGTATACCTACTCTGCATTCTACATACTTATCGTATAAGATTATTCGGGTCCATATACCCTTAAAATTGTCACTTATAGCCGTAGTACCCTAAGCCATGTATCACATACGTTGTAATATATTGCCAGAGCATGTCTCCTTTATTTATACAGGTAGATAAATAGATAATAATATGGTAACTAGGTAGGTTTATTATAAAAAAAGTTACATATTATATCCGTTCTTGACTGTTCAGGGCGAGTGATTCCGCTCTAACAATCACAACACAGACCACTACCCTACATAATGACAAAAGACTGGATGAAATTGGTGTGCGATTAATATCCACATTGACTCGCAGACAACTCCGATATTGTCAGGGGTAAGTCACGGACGACTAATGACTATACACTATACAGCTCGACAGTTATACTTAAGTATAGGAAGTAGGAACAATAATAACGTGTACAGTGTGCGGCGTTATGAATCAACAAACCAAATTTTTTTCAGAACTGAATAAATGATAATATCCATTTTACTGAAACAGTGTCCGTATACTGTAAAAGTAGTTGAGAATTTTCAAACCTCTGCAGCAACAATAAACGAAAAAATTAAATAAATAGTGTTTAAAATATCAAGTTCAAAACAATACCTACCAGCCGTTTCAGTGTTGGGCGTAAACTACAATTTATAGTGGTTTTCATTTTGAAGTTAATTTCACTTCAAATCATATCTTTAATTCAAAGTGAAATACAGAGACGGCAGCACATTGAAAACGTTTACTTCAAAGTTATGAACGATAGCAGGCTCAATGAAGAAGATCAAAACGTAAATATATATAATTATATAATACTATATTGCATTTGTTTATTTTCCCACCTCGAACAGGGTTCAGTAACATTATTCTGTTAAAAAAAAAAAACATTTTTAAGCGATCTTTTTAAAAATATTTTAAAGCCACAATAGTACTATATGTACCTATTGTTAATGTATTCAAAATAAACAGTAGGTATACGATTCAAATCAAAATGACCTATTTGGGTATTGACTATTTATGACACCAGAAAAGGAGCTACAACAAAATATTATAAAACTCATAAAAAATATAATACTTTAGTAAGAGAATAAAATAATTAATATTGTTGCAGTGGTATTATGATAGCTGGTAAAATAAAAATCCATCTAATAACACATTATTAATATACTACCTATATAACTAATTACCTCTATATCACTTGTTCTCACTAAATCGTGAATACGAGTAAGTTTTAATTTCTCAATCAGAATCAGCATAATAACGTTTTAAAAATGTTGGAAAAAAAAAGTAAGAGTTCGATGTAATTTAAAACTGTTATTGAATATCTATTAGGTATTACAATTTACAAGTGACAACTATTACGGGATAGTGTGGCCGTAAAAATGTGAGTAGAAAGAAAAGTCAGATAAATACCTGATATACATATACACTAACATTTGATGTTATACACTTATACGAGAAAAATTAAGAAGAGGTTTTCACGTGATATTTGAGATAAATCATTTACTCGTGAATCGTGATCCACATGGACACGGGATTTACAGTTCTTTTTCTGAAAACCGTGTTTGAAATCAGGCGCGCACCCAGAATTATTGCTTGGGGGGGGGCTTAATAATTTTTCTTTTTCCCTTACACACAAGTAAACAATTAAAACTAATTTTTAAATAACCAATTTTGTAAAAAATCGAACAGACTGAATTATCTAAACGAGATTTTCATGCCACAGACAGTCGAAAGTCATAATTATCATTGTTATCGTAGTTAACGATCAAAGTCGACCGTACGTAATCATTATTGTATCTATAAATCTAAAAATAATTTTCAACTAAATAAAAATTGACGATAGCCACCGTAGAGTATATTGATTGTCACAAACCTTATCGCGTAGTATTGAACTATTATGTATATATTATATGTGTATCTAACATAATAACAAAATTTTAAAATAAAACATTATCATTTATCATTGTTATACTATATTTTCTATAATAATGTGTAATTTAATGAAAAAATATTTTTGGGGGGGGCTTAAGCCCCAAAGCCCCCCCCCCTTGGGTGCGCCACTGTTTGAAATTGTTCAATAGTAATTTATTATAATTTATCACTAAGCAAAGTATATAAATACAAGAACTCCCAATTCCAGAATAGCCAAATTTAATTTCTCCAAAATATACATAAATAATAATTATTATGAATCAATTTAATGTCACTTTACAAACAATAGTTTTTAATAACCACCAAATTATACATCGACATTGAAACATTAATATTAGGAGGAATCTAATTGGTACTTACATACTCTTCGTTGGGGGGGAGGGGGGGGAAATGACACGGACCTAATTCATTTTTTAACTGTTCAATCACAAAAGAAGACACGTAATGCATACTTCAAAAATATGTACTGACAAATTGTACCAAGATATAATGTTGCTTCAACCAAGACTTCCAGTAAAAACAATACTGGTATACAAAACAGTAAAAAAAATAAACATTTACAACAAATGGGATAACAATAGATTCACATAAATATAAATAAAATCATAAGTATAATATTTGTTCTATGTGTTTATATTTAGATAGGTTGGTATCATCATTTGAACAAAACTGATACCTATATTTTTCAATAACAGTTTATGATTTTAGAGGGATTTAATTATTAACAATACATAACAAAAATAATTATAATAGTGTTTTTATTGTCTGTATGTTTTATTTGGTTTACAACTTTCGCTTAAAATGAGCAATAAGTTGTTTACATGATGAATGATGATATAATATTATGGTTAACAGAAATGTCATTTTTGTGAGGCATATACTAGATTTAAAAGAAAAAATTTGGATTTTCTTAAATATTTACTATTTAGGTGTCACTATATCTATGGATATTAAATATAGTAGATACTGTACATATACAAAATAAATAGTAATCACTTGGTAGTAAAAACCTTGTGATGTACATAAAATATTGAATAAACTTAATCATTGTAACAATTTAATTTCATTAATTTGCATTTACACTTTAAGCGTTTATTATTCATAATATTAATTGTTATTGTAACCATACGCATTGTATTTTATCGTTCTTAATTTTTTATAAAAATAAAATTATTTCAAATTTATATCAAACGTTAACATAATGATATTACTTTCCTCCAAAGTGAACATCGTTATAATAACAAAAACATATCATATAACAAAAAGTAATAATAATAGTAATAAAAATAATAATAATAATAATAAAAATAAATGAACATATCACAGACAAAAAGACATTTTAACATTTTTAATACACCTAACTTGTTTTTATATATTTAAAAAACATATATAGACTTGTTAAATTACAAGTCTATACATTTTAAGATGGGTATGTCTTGTATTGTAAAGTGAAGTATTTTAATCAGTAATAACTTATATTCTTGGATAGTAAAACACAAGATCCTAATAATATTGTTACAAACACTGTAAAACAACTAATAACTATTTAAATGATACCTTAGAAAGTAGTTAGTATTACATTCAACTAAAATAACACAATAGAAGACTACACAAAAATTGTCTTCAGACTTGGGACTATAAAAAACAACGATTACGAGAAGTTAGTAGTGATCTTTTGAACAGAAACACTTTACTAATACATTAAAATCAAAACAGCAAAAAATTACAACTTATTGTACCTAATTGAAATAACTTTCTTACTTCCATAACTAAAAATAGACCATAATTGTTGTGTAAATTATATACAATTTAATATTTCATTACTTAAAAATATTTATGACTAAATTGTATAGAAGGAAATATTATGTTTCAAATATATGTCTCTCAAAATTTATAAAATGTCTCTACTGACAACTTTTATGCTTGTGCTTTTTGTCGAATCGTCCAAAATATAAAACGTTTATGTAAATATATATATAATAAATACATATATAAAGGATACTAGGTATATATTTATTCTACAGAAACATTATTTTAACTATTTTGACAGTTTTATAAGAGTTAGAAAATAAGGGTCAATACGTATTTTACATTTTAACCAAATAAATATATTGTACATAGATAGTATTATATACATTTATACATGTTATATATTATACACTAATAAAATAACATAAATATATACAATATATTTGTTTGGTTAATATTATATAAGAGCATATTATATTATGTATATATAAAGATACATACAGTTTTTTTTAATTAATTATAGGAATTGAGTTTGGGACAGAGAAAAAATTTAAAGGTATACAAATAACACTAATCATATAATTTGCTCACTAACCAAGTTATCAATGTTTAAAATATAAAGTGAGTATGAATATAGTTATAATTTTGAACTTTAAGAAATATAATATCTGTAGTTATACTATCAATTCTTCTTAACTGTTAATATTTGCCATAAACCCGCATAGTTTTTAAAAACATGATTATTAACTTCTTTGCGCTTTTATAATTTCTATTTTTTCTTTATACATTATATAATTTAATAGTTTAATACTGAACACCTGAAATTAAAAATTTTTCCTGGATACGCAACATTACGCAATTAATAACAAGCCTAATTTAAAAACAATTTGTATACATAATAATCTAATGTCTGCCCACAATATACTAGTTTAGACCAGGTAACTCAATACTAACCTAAAATTGCTGACCTTTAGAACCATCATCTCTAACTGTATAATGACTATATATACGTGATCTTGAGGCTACAGGCAAATCACAACGAACACTAGTTTTTTTTGTTATTTTTTCATTTATCAATGTTGAATTTACTGGAGGAGGTGGAGGAGGTGGTCGATCATCGGAAATGTTTGATTTCTTCATTAGTACGAATTTGAAAAATTCATAAGTCGTCCAGGATATGGCTGTTGATGGCATTTGATACAAGACACGAGCTACCATACCTCTAAAAAATCCTCCGGGACCTCCTAAGGTATACACAGTTGTGACTGCACGGAATAAACCTTCAACTCTTACCTAGAAAATATGAAACAATTTATACATGATGAATTTAAATATTTACTTTATTAAATCACAAGTTTTAATATTTAATATTAATGTTTACTGATTATTTTAAATATGTTACAGCTATTAAAATATGTAAAAATTAATAAAAGTTTGGCATTCAAATAATAATACTACTGGCTACTAAATACATACAACAGACTAATGTCAAATGCATAATTAAATAAATAATGATGAATAAAAATAATCTATATATATTAAAATGGACCCTAAGTCCTTTGTCCGGAAAAGTAGGAAATCTGGATGTCAAAAATACAACAGTAGCGCCATCTTTCTAGCAAGAAAATAAACAAAATAATGATATATTTTTGTTTATTGTAAGGTTGCTATTGGTTATGATTGAATATAATTTTAGACCTGTATATTATATTTGGTCAAAACCATATTATAACTTAGTACAATGATATTTCTAACGCTAATTAACGACCATTGTCCCATGAACCTACACATGCACATCATAAACAATGTGTTGATAAAATATTCGTAATAATGTATGCCCCTCGAGGGGTCTGCAATGTAAGTGTGCACTAAGAAAGCATCTTTCAAAATTCACATTTTATAAAATGGTACTTCCACAAGTATTTTGAGATTCAAGATGATCTAAGGACATTTTTAAGTTCTGAACACCATACACCGTATATTAAAAAACGAATTGAACAAAGTTTGAATCCTAGAGAGTTGGTACAATTAACGGGCAACGAAGTGCACGGGATCAGCTAGTATAATATAAACTAGTAACAAAGACAAAATAGAATTATACAAGAATTAAATAATGTACAACCTATACTCACAATAATCATAGTAGTAAAATATAATGAACAAATAATATTAATTAGCAATTAATTAAAGTACAATAAAATTGCCCACCCATGCAATGGATAATTACATTTTTTAGTAGCATGTTTCTTATAAAATTATATATTCCACATTTATAATTGTAAATAATTCATATTCATGAACAAGTTAAAAATAACCTATGAACTTGCACTTCTTCTTTATAGAAATGTCTATGCATATTATAATTTATAACTACTTTGAATAAAAAAAAATGTATATTTTTAACATCATTATTCTTTATATTTTGATATTGAGAATACAACTTAGGATTAAAATAATAAAACAAACAGTTACAAAAAATAAATAAATATTATTCAAGTATTGTGTAACTTTAATAAGAGATTATCTAAAGATCATTATTGGTTATTATATAAGTGACTTTTTAACCTAGTAACCAACATACCTAACAGTGCTAACAAGCTGATAGCCAATAGGTAAATATTAATACTTCAATTGAATATACTTAAAAATAGATCATACAAAATACTTTAAGATGTATTATAATTTATAACTTAACACCTATACTAAATAATTATATCATTCATAAATTCAAGTGGTTAATCTTGATATATTTTGAAATGGTATAGCTGAACTTTGTCACATACACCATCAACATAAAAATATAGGAACAATAAATATTAAATAGGAAAATGTGTGTTAAAGTAATAAGTTTTGATTACAGATTTGGAATAATATATTTTTAGTAGTTAAACAATTTTTCTTTTAAAAATTCCTTATTTTTTAAATAAAAACAATTAGATGTAAGCGAACTAAATTTGAAAAGTTGATAACTGAATTATAAAATATAGGTACTTAATATTTTCCAATTTTCCAATATATTAATACAATGAAGTTTAAGTTTGAAAACTTTACAATTATATGCAAAAAGTTTGAATTTAAAATAGTCAGTTTATAACTGTCAGTTAAAATCATATCTTATTTAAAATCAATGCTGATCATTGAAAAAAATTGTAAATAATACAGACATATCTCGTAATATCAGTTTTACACATAAACATTTAGTTTAGACAAAGTATATTTTTATTAATTAAAAAACTTAACTATAGCCTATATTTTATACTAGGTAATTGATTTAATTAGTTTTTACAGTAACCTAATAGGTATTCACACTATTTCGCTGTAAAGTTATGTATTTATACTTTGGATCATAAAATTGAATCATGTAGTGACAATGCATGTCTCAAGTTTTGTTATTACTTAATTAAAAATTACAGCTTTTTAGCTTTCTTTAATTCAAATTATAACATCAAGCATGACAAGTATTCAAATACTGATGTATTAATTATACTAGTTATCTTTGAAACAAAACCCAATCATAAAAAAAGCTATTAACTATTATATGATTTATATATATTAATATATTAATTATATAAAGGCAAATTATTAACAAATTAGTATAATAAAATCAGAATGTCTATCTAGTTACCTATGAAATAAGATCCAATCATTAAAGTGTGTTGATTAAATTACTTTCATAAAAGTAACAATTTACAAAATAGTACTTTAAAAATAGTATATCTTATATAGGTACACTATTATATAGAACATTTATAATGGGCAAATTTACCATTTAAATTGGCCATCTGCCATTGAACCCATTGAATGTTCATACTTAGTTATTTATTACAAGATAAGTTTAGGAGTTAACATTATAATACACTTTTGTTTGAAATTTATTTATTTGCTATGCAAACATAAGATTTTTTGTTTTATTTATGTAGAATTTAATAAAAATTAAACTTAATTCTATAATTATATTATTATTATAAATAAATAAATTATTAATATTGACATAAATTTAAAACAGTGTTTTAAATATATATTTTAATTGTATATAACTATGACTATTTATATTTGAAAGAATAAACAAGGCTTCTTTTAAAAAAATTGTTTACACAATTAAAATAATTTGTCATGCAAATATTATATTAAAAATACGGAAGTATTTAGTAGCTGCAAATTATATTTCCAATTTTAATTAATTATAATGATCACTATTATTTACCTAAGTAATTAAACACATGCCTACACATCAGAATTATAAATGAACTCATGGTAACAGGAAAATAATTTAAATAATTTATAGATAAAGTTTCAAAGCTATTCCTCTCTACCAAGTACAATGTACCTAATGTGACAGGTGTTCAATCTGACCCTGATCTAATTTCAAGAAATAATGGTTCCAATATGAAGCAGTATGTATGCCTCCCATTTATAAATAACAATAAAAATCATAAATTTAACATTAAACCAAAAAAGTAGATAAAAATAGATTTAAAATGCTGATTGGTTACTAAGAGCTGATTGTTTAATAGAATATGAATGCAATTATAGATAATTGGTGTCGATTTACCCAAAATTTGTCAATATTTTGTAACAAAAGCATATATACCTACTATATTTCTTTACAATAATTTTGCAGCTTTTTACAATATTTCAAAAAACTGCTCAGAAAATGTATATGACTTTTTTTAAGTTTAACGTAAATTTGTACATTAATAATAAAGGCATACAAAAGTTAACATTTTAATAAAAAATTGAAGCAGCAAAGGCCCTAAATGGGCTATAAAATCTAGAAGAAAAATAAATATAATAAATAATTATGTGAAATTATTTAACAAAACATTTTTAACTTTTATGCTTTTGTACTTTTTAATACAGTGATACCATTTCTTTCAAAATAAATTTAATGCAGCCTAAATATTATAATTTTAATCAGTGTATAAATTAATGATATATTTATATTTATATTTAAACCTCAAAGATAGTGAGATCAAATAAAATGTATACAATTATAGTTTATAGTATTATATTGTTGATATGAAACAAAAACTCAAAAACTATACATTTATCTTCTATGAACTCAAAATAACTTTAGTAACATGAAGCTCAAAACAAAATACAAGTATTTTCAGATAAAAATGTATTAGGTATTGATCAAAAGTTACATTTTACTGTTAGAAGTTTAGAACAAAATATTACCTAAATATCTTAATTACAATTACAATTTAATATCACAACATTTCAGTTTTTGCTTCAATCGAACTGAAATATACTTCCTATTTATTATTTAAACATTTTTCAATTTAACAATGAACTAAATACAAATGATTTATTAATAATAAATACCCAAATACATTAAATTTAGTATGTTTTAGTGAATTAAAATATAAAATTGTTCTGATTTTTTTTTTTTGATCATATCTATGGCCATTAGCTGTTTGTAGGTTTGTATTGTGGTGGTGGTAGGGTTTGGAAAGGCGAGTTTTTACACGTGAGTGTTTGTATTTGGCAGAACTTTTAAGTGGGCCACATTTATTTCATCAAATTATTTAAAAATATTTAATTAATTTCCCATATTATTATTTACTAAAATTACACTAAATTATTTTGAATACAGTTTATATTATTTTCAAATATGTTGTACATGTACATAGTTTTGAAATAAATAAAGTGTAAATAATAAATAAATATAATGAAATAAAAAAAAATTATTTATTAATTTTTTATTAATCAAATTATTTTTGTCTGTAAGACATTAAATTTGTCTATAATATTACTTGTATAACTACAATCAAATAAATATAACTATGACAATTGGTTTAAATAAATCAATAACAAAATATTTACTATCAACAATAGAAATCTAACCTTGTACAAACATGACAACATTAAATAGTTCAATACTTGACATATTATATTGCGTTCAGTTAGAATGTATAAGAAAAAAGTTAATTAATTAAATTTAAATACTTTTAAATAGTATATTTATTAAAAACCTAGTTTTTCATAATTAAATCAAATCTAGAGTTTGTATACTGATTTGTAGGTTTTTTATATTCATAATAATTAATAAAAATGTTTATACCAAAATCATAATTTATTTTCTTAAACATTAATAGATTTATATTAGAATTTAATAAGAAATACTTGAATAAAATGACTAATGGATATTGTAATATGATGATTGATGGCATATTGGCATATATTAACATAAGTTTAATTCTGTTAAGCAACTGACCTAGTAACTTAACCCATTAGCCGATAGAGTACTTATTAGTATTAATAATTAAGAAAATTATTCTAAAATTTATAAATGAGATATTTCACTTACATTTGTAGTTTGAGTGTTTAATAGAGTCTTGCATACATCCAATGGGGTTGTTATAGCAGCTGCGAGTCCCCCAGCAACACCTCCTGATATCATATGATATAAAGGATTGTATATCCTATCTGGATTCAAAAAATTTTGACAGTACTCATAGGTCATAAAATGAACTATTTGAAATGGTGCATTCATGAACAATTGTACCATGTACGAACGATAGAATGCTCCTAATCCTTCAGTTCTCCAAATTGAACTCACACAATTTAAAATACCATTATATGGTGAGTTTGACATTTGCAAACGTTGTTTAACAACTACAAAATAAAACAAATGTTTTAAAATATAATAAAATTAATTAAAAAAAAGTACTGCTATTTTTACCATCTGTTGGAGTCATAATTGCATCATGTATAATAGTTGAAACACATCCAGCAACACCTGAGGAAACTGTCATATTTAAAGGTGTTTGATGGGAAATTTTTTGCTTCAAATGTTCATAAGATGCAAAATAGAGAGCATGAGCAGGTCCAGCACCTATAATTACTGTCCCCATCCCACGCATTGGTCTTAAATATCCTTCATGTTTTATCATATTGAAAAGAACAGTGCCAATTCCTCGATTCCCTACATTTCCAGATGGCATGAATGCCTGCAGCCGAGTCTAAAAGAAAAAAGAAAACTGTATTAAAGTTAAATAGATAAGAATAGGTCATATCAGTCAAGTAATCATTTTGTACATTCATTATTACTGAATTAAAAAGGGAAGACTAATAAGCAGCCTAGTGTTAAAGTTGTTTCATAAACACAAATTACCCAAATAGAATTTTAAAATTTAATATCTACCTAATAATACTAAATATGAATTTAACATAAGTAGGTACTTTCAGGTTAAGTTTGAGATTGATTTATATTCAATTTATAATGAAAGAAAACTAAAAAAAAAAACTAATGTAAGCATTCTAAAATTGATTTTATAACCCACCTAACTAAATACTAATTTAGTTATAAAAATTGATAACTATAACAATTATTAATTGTTATAAGTTATAGTTATATTAGGTATTACTAATAACTATAAAGATATACTATATATAAATATATATACACGGTGTTTCAAAAGTCTTCATCCAATTACGAACTGATATATTTCGGAAACGGTTAATCGCAGGTTAATGACCAATGTATTAATGGAAAGATTAGATAACTAAGTTTATTTTAAGTTATCTAGTTGATAAATTTGGCACCGTAATGGTTAGTGAACTAGGAATCGTTAGTTTGTTTCGCTATGGCGACTCCGCAACAGAAAGCATTTTGCGTCTTACGTTTCAATAAGTGCGAGTCGGCGATAACTGTTCAACGTGATTTTCGAAGAACTTATGGAACTGAAGCTCCTACTGCTCAAAGCATTCGACGTTGGCACCAAACTTTCCAAGAAAGTGGTTGTCTGTGTGCACAGAAACGCTCAGGTCGACCTCGTACCTCTGACGAAAACATCGAGCGAGTTCGACAAAGTTTCGTTCGAAGTCCACAGAAGTCTACACGTCGTGCAGGCTTAGAGCTAGATCTCCCACATTCGACCGTTTGGCGTGTTCTACGACGTCGTTTGACATTGAAGGCATACAGAATACAACTGTTACAAGCCCTCCTACCGGATGACAAACAAAAAAGGATTGATTTTTGCAATTTCATATCCGAAAAACAAGAAGAAAATGAGTCATTTGTCTCACGCATTGTTTTTTCGGACGAAGCCACATTTCATCTAAGTGGAAAAGTCAACCGCCATAATGTCAGGATCTGGGCTTTAGAGCAACCACACGCAACTGTTGAGCATCAAAGAGATTCACCAAAAATCAATGTTTTCTGTGCAATTTCCAGGAAAAAAGTTTACGGTCCATTTTTTTTTGAAGAAAACACAGTAACGGGTAACACATATCTAAACATGTTGCAAACATGGTTGTTTCCACAGTTACAAGAGGATAGTGATGATTTTGTTTTTCAACAAGATGGAGCACCGCCGCACTGGAAGTTAGAAGTTCGCCGGTATTTGAACGGTGAACTCCCTCAGCGGTGGATTGGGCGTAAAGGAAACGACGATTTGGCGATTCATCCCTGGCCACCACGTTCCCCTGACCTCACAGTGTGTGATTTTTTTTTATGGGGCTACATAAAAGATAAAGTGTATGTACCACCATTACCTACAAACTTGGAAGAGCTTAAAATCAGAATCAAAGATGCTGTTAATGCCGTGACACCAGATTTGATCAGCAACGTTTGGGAAGAATTTGATTACCGTATAGATGTGTGTCGGGCGGCCGGTGGGGGTCATATTGAACATTTGTAACCAAAGTAAATAAAACTTGACTATTTTAAGAATATATTTTACTTTATTTAACCCTTATATCTTCATTTTTAATATAAATATAATATTCTGAAATCGGATGAAGACTTTTGATACACCCGGTATATCACCTACATTAATTTTATAATTCAATAAAAATTTAAATATGCCAGAAACTATACTAGGTATCAAAATATATTTAGTAACAAAAATAAAACTGTAGAAAAGAGTAAGTCCTATAATAATATTCAATCTGGACTCAAGACTAGAGCACATGAATCATGCAAGTTAAATACATGGCAAGGTTTCAAAAAATTATTTTTTTAAAACAAGTAGGTATCTACCCCAATTACTAGACTTTAAATTATGTATTAATTTACTAGTATACCGATAATGTGATTAATCGTAGATACACAGTACACATTTACACGATTTCTATTATTATTTTATCCCATAAAATGACGTACTTTCTAAAATATATGTACATGACTAACATACACTTACCTTTACAGAATCCAGAGGGTACATTACACAATGTTCCATAATTCCTGCAATGGCACCAGCCATCATGTGATCAGTCACATTAGATGATGGTATGGTCTCATATTCATCAAAACTCATAATAAATAAATTAATTATGAACTAATAAATAATTATATTTATTTCTGAATAGGCGAACTGCCGAACTGCTCGAAAAACTAAGTTTAGTGAAAGTGAAGTCGCTCGATTATTTTTGCCCCGAGGATGGTGCTGTGTGCCATGAGCATGAAGTTAGTAATGCATTTGCGACGATTGATTATAACGGGTTCCCAAAATGTAGTATCAGTGGTATCACCCTTTAGAACGGAAGTTGTGAAGTCTACACAAAATAAGACCAAGGCGCACCTATAACACATATTATCAAGTACAATATTTTAAATCTCATGTAATAAAATTCAATATTGAAATAAAATAACGTGATGAAAAATGTATACATTTTATCAATATTTTGAAATTTGTAAACAAAGTTAAATATAGGTAAACCTTCATTTATGAATTTGAATAATTAATAAAAGCATAACTTAAAATTGTTTAATGATACGTGACGTAATAGTGCCTTACGCTAACGATTGAACTATAATTTCATAAGTGGATATTTAATTAATAATTATGTATATTATTTGAGTAATTATTGAGAAATTGTATTGATGATGTATACCTTATTTATTAATATCAATGATGGTTGTATTAAATTGTGTGAACTACAAAGTGTGAGTAATTTTCCTCAATAAAACTCAATACTCGGATTGCTGAAGTGCCATTAAAGCTAAAGCCCAAAATCCGGAGGTGACGAGGTGTTGACAAAAGTATTAAAATTAAAATTATTGTTTATCATTATAATAAGTTAGGTCTGTTATCAGACTATCACTCAAGCATTGCAATTTAGATTAACATGACGTTCGCGACTTAGGGAAAAAAGAAGGGATATGAAATGCTTGTTATCTTTTATTGAAATAACACGGATAGCGGTAAGAACTTTATAATCACTATCACAGAATAATAATTACAAGTGACTAAATAAAATGTACCATGTAGTATGTAGATTGTAGGCAAGTACACGTGCGATGTTCACCGGTTATAACTTATATTATAAGTGTTATTATAATATGGCATTTATTGTTGATATCCCCCTCTCTACAACCCACACATTCGTGTCAATTAAATCATTAAAGTTTGTACTTTGTAGTGTAGTGTTGTACCTTCGAGTTCAATTATCGTGCAACGCGGAAATGGCCAGAATGTTGTTGCCTGTACACAAAACCGTACACCATCGTAGTATGATCGATAGAGATTCCGTTGAACGTAAAAAACATTTGTGCTATATTTTTGATGAGCAATGGAATTGTTAAGTGGGTGAAATTTAAGCGTCTCGGTTAAAAAAAAAACAAACGAATAACGCAGCGGACGGACTCGGGTGAAACTTAGAAAATAAATAATATAGTTTACGCGGTAAGTCTAATGTGGTATTGTGAATACCTGACAGTCGTGTGGACGAGTGGACGACTCACGACAGACTGTATACTGTATAGTGTAAAGTATTAAGAATAAATGTATGTCGTATCTCGTATGAGTTATCATTATGAATTATGATGCATTGAATTTGGTGATGCCATGATGTTGTGGCGGTCAAAGTAGCGATTGGCTGAGACAATCTGTACTCGAGAGTCTAAACTATCGCGTACCGTAAATATATTTCGTAAAGCACTATCGAACGTTTACGATAGGTAGCCGGTAAATCAACAAAACTAGAAAATCAGAGAACGGTAAAGACTAAAGAGAACATATTATAATTTATAACCATTTTTTTATTTCAGATGTTTTGGGCAAGTCGGTACCGGTTTTAAATGTGAATGTTTTGTTCGTCCGACTATTAGCGTTGCGCCGGTGCCCAGGTCTCGATGGTCAAAAAACAATTAATAATCGATATTCCCCACGATTTGAACAATCGGGTAGATACTTGATACTGGTACAACACATAGATAATACAATTTAACATGACAACGACGTATTTAGGTGAGAATAGGTATGTGAATGCAACTCAACAAAAATAAAGAATTTTTCTTTACAGATCTTGGTGTTAGTGTGCCATTCATAATTTATCTTTAATGTCCTTCAGCTACAAGTTTGGTCGGTGACCGTCACTGACTGATATACAGAGCGATTAGAGAACGAAATAATTATGATGACATTATATAAAGGCATAAAGCAATAATATCCCGATTCGTGAGACGACATGGGTCCATCGGTTACGTGCTACACTGGTCACTGACACACAAATTAATATATTACATATTATTATTACGTTTTACCGCGCCAGTATCTACGTGAACACCTGGTGTAGCTGGTCCAGCTTATCACAGATTGGCAACCGTCTACTACTCTACTCGTCTGAGATTAGATATTGCGCGGCCGCATGGGCATGGTGGCAACTCTGCAGTTTTCTTTATCATGGTGTTTTACCTATACATCATGGTGTACACGCAAGTATATCTTAATTCGTATTTCGTGTGCACACGACATGACCTCCTGGCGACGGTCTTATAATGTTATTTAATACGTCCTATTTTTCTAGTACACTGAAACGGATTTATTTCCTCCTTACATGGACATGTCGGCATGTCGCACAGTAGTTCAAAATTAGAAAAGGTGGCCAAAAGTGATTTTTGAAAATTTAAAAAAATTACAAATTATTGTGTACAAATACTTTCTATATCCCTCAAGGTATTCAAAAATACCTAAATTAATCAAAAAAAGTAACTTTTTGGTTTCAAATTGATGTTTGAATTAGAAAAAAAAAATTTTTTTACCCAAAAAATGTGTGTAATTTTGGTAGTACTTTAAGTTTTTGTACGCTATGAAATGCTATAGAAATACAATAAAAATCAGTTTGTTCATTTTTATTTATTTCTATAGGGATTATTATTTATTAGTGTATTTATAATCATTATTAGAAAAAAATATTATGTCTGTACGACTAATAATTGTAGCGATAACAATTTAATACTTGTTGTAGCTTCAGTTATATCTTATTAACGTAAGATTTTAATCAGTTCTTTCACTGACCTTCACGCCAATATCTATACCCCAAATATCTATAAGGTGTATAGAACTGGTTAATGTTTAGATTGGTTGCTCATATTTGCCCATTACTGAATAAAGATTAATTGAATTGTAATAAAGTACAATCGAAATCATAAACAAAATTGTCGTAAAATATCAATAATTGATACAAAAACAGATATTTTTCATCGATTATTATTATATTCTGATCCTCTTTTAAGTAGTTTAAAGGAAGTTAAAAAAGACGAAAATTACATCCTCATGTAAAAGAACTAATAATTTTTAATAGTGATAGTAGCAATGACAATGAATAAAATGTATTTTTTTTTTCATAGTATAAAAATCCTTGGAATAAAAAACTTTTAATTTTGAACCACTGTGTGTCGTATGCATATATATTATATAATAAATTATCTTTTGTGCAACATTAAACTCAGCCCGGTTAATTGGAAGGAAGATAATAAAAAGCCGATGATAGAAAAATACTTAAAAATACGGGCAATCTTGAACATTTTCATTTTTATTTCAGCAGTATCTTGTACAGGAATTTTTAAAAATGAACTACTCAATCCCTCAATAGCATACGAAACATTTTTTATGGTTCTGATTGCGGAAGATACACTTGCACCAAACATATCTGCCACTGATAATATAAGCATAGTCCCCAGAGCATAAAAGCGTAGTGTGCGTAGTACTCGATTCAATGGGGCTAATGCCATATTCCTAAAAACAAAATATTTCATAGGTATTGTTCTAATGGTATTACTGTATTAGACTTTAAGCCTTCAGGTATTAGCCATTAGGTATATTCAAAACAAACAGTTAGGTTTTTAATATTAATAATATTTACCTGTCAGTAGCTGTCTCCAATTTTCTTGCAAGTAAATTTAACAATTAATTTGCACAACTTTTTGAAAGACGAAATTTATAGATAAATTCGTCATCTATTATAAAATACCTATCGTAATAGTTTGGTCTATCTTTGTAAACTTGAGGTCTTCTTCGGCCAATGTTATTTACGTCATAAATAAACTCAATAAAATTATTTATATTATTCATTTTAAATCAAGTAATTAGGTATCAATAATATAAAACAAATGCACTGTAAAATTTATGAAGACAATTATGGTGCGGACTAAATATAACTGGGGATAGAAAATTATCACAATAATGAATCAGCAAAGTTCAAAATTATAAATATTGGGTACCTATAACTCTATGGATTCTTTCCACTAGTTACATTAACGGTCACTAAAACTGCCGCTAAATTAAGTGACCGCCAACTCATAGTTACCGGTAACATTTTACGTAACAGAGCATTGTAATAACGGAATATTAAAAAGTGGCCGTTAAATGTGTCCGCCAAGTTAGAGTAGACCTTAGCAGGGCATTGTAATAACGGC